GAAAAGCGAAAACTCTTTAATCTAAAGGCGCAAAATGCTTTTCCACTTTTCAATGTCATTTTATGTGTTTTGCTACTTTCGCTCTTATAAACATATGTATATAGAGCATATAGAAATCAGCCAGTCTGCCACGGTGCAACAGCAGCTGGCAAAAAGAGCAAAACTTAATTTGAAATAAAAGAATTCTGATGCTGATGCCGATGCCGATGCTGATGTCATGCAAACGACAAATGTCCTGTGTGTTTTCCCATTTGGCGTGTCCTTTGTTGTTTGTCGCAAGCAAATCTAACATGATACAAGTTAATCTACAGGAAATATCATTCAAATTATTTGGTTATTTTTAACATAAAAAAACATACACACACCAAAAATAAACTTTCCACAAGTGATATTTTGAAAAATCCGATATGATGTAAGAAAACTTTCGATTTGAGTAAATTTGGGTATCAAAAATTAGTAAAATCAACGTTTATTTGTTGCTTCAACATTTGAACTTTTTATACCTGAAGATATTTCCTTAGAAAACGAAAATTTTGCATCATTTGTAATGAAGAAAAATGCAAATTACAAAAAAAAAAGAAAAGAAAAACGCAAGGACCGCAGTCAAATTGCCGACATCTAAATTGAATTACATTTGTAACCGATCGATATTTCCTTTGAAAGCCATATGATATTGTCAGAATGTCAAAATGTTACAATTATAATAATGAACAGAATTATAATAATACCCTTAGAAGAAGGTTCCACCCGTGACTGCCCGACTAAGTGATATCCTGTTCGAAAACAATTACAAATATATTAACAACATTGTCTTCCCAGTCACATCGAAAATTACATAGGTTTTTCATATGTTTCCCCTCGATTCGCTAAAATATACACATACCTTAAGGAGTTCGATATGCTTCCTCTTCAGCCTTTTTTTTCATACTTTTGCACAAGTTAAACTTTTTCAGGTTTCACAAAGCAAAAAATAATCGTGTTTTGTGAAATGTTCGCTGCTGATTGGGTTTGTATTGGTTTTTTTTTCAATTGCATTCCATTGTTCAGAAAATTGACATCATCAATGATGCGAAGTAAGTGTTAAAATGTTAAAATCGCAATGGAAATATGCTAATAATTATTATTTATTAACTTATGTGTGCGAAAAGTGTTCACAATTTTCGAACTACGAAAAATAATAAAACAAGTAAGCGTATATCATGTCTGTCTCTCTGTCTGTCCGTCTGTATGTCTGTATATATGCACACATGTATGTATGTAGCATAAGCATAGGCTGTAAGCTAAGCCGAATTGTTGCGTGCGACGCCGACGCAAATAGAGTCCTGCCTCTGTCGCTGCTACTGTTGTTGCTGCTTTTTGTGAGCTTTTTTCATTGGCTTGCGTTTGTATGGGTGCACGCAAACACCAAAAGTCAATTGACTCAAAACTATGATAGTATGCGTGTGTACACACATACACATACATATGTATGTATATATATATATATACATATACATATTTATTTAGATATATAAATGCATCATTTTATTTGAAATTCACCTGCTTGCCTGCATATATGTATATATATGTGTACATGTCTATGTTAACATAACATGTGTTTGTTTGTATTTTTAAATGTGTACAATTCACACACACACTTGCACAAATCCATCTGTGTTTTGGCTTTACTTGTGTATTTTTGTGTGTTTTGCAATAAATATGTGTGTATGTTTGTATGTGCAAAATACATTTACCGTATGTATTTCTCAAACTAATTCAGTACTTCTAGTCAGTGTTCGCAGATCTTGTTGTATTAGTTGCTCCTGCTATTATTAGCGCAATGTGAGTACAAAAACAAAAACAAAAACCCAAACAAAAACAAAAACAATGGAACAGTAGCAGAAACAGCCGCTTTTTTATTTTCTCGATTGTATTTGATATTCCGCAATAGTTGCCGCTGTTGTTTTTGTTCTTGTTGTTGTTGTTGCTGTAGTGTCATGCTTTACTTTTCAATCTATTTATGCTTTATTTTCATTTACACATTTCTTTCAATTATCTCGTACGTTCGTTCAGTGCTCTCTCACTCTCTCTCTTTCTCTCACCTCACCACAATACGCTCTCTTACTCAGTTTCTCTCTTCTGTCTTACACACTCCCACGCAAGCATGTCAGTCGACGTCGCAGTCGCCGTCAAGAACGTCAGTTGCAGTTACGACTCTGCATTTGCCGCTAGTGTCATAAATTGTCGTTAAAATTAAATATACATAATTAACTTGGGCATGTGTATAGTTTTCACCTGACAGCTAGTATATAATTTTTGTAGTTCGCAATTTGCACAAAATTCTTAGCTGTTAACCGGTAAAATGCATACCTGGAGCAATATTCAAATTGATCTGATGTCGAATGTTATTAACACTGTACTCTAATGTCAATGAAATGTTAACCCTAAGACACGTAATGTTAATTAGATTGTATTTATGATTTGCCCACTATGTAAATAAAGTCACAACTCGACGAAATGCCAGAGAGTTCAGTAGAGCAGAAAAGAGACACAAAAAAGTGTCGAGTCGTCTGTGTACAGTTTAATGACATTACATGCGACTAATTCAGTCTACATTCTACACTCGACACACAGATACAAATGTACACGCTAAACACATATGCGTAGATACATGGGTATTTATATACTGTTAAGGGAGACTCAGTCTGCTCGATACTGTGGAATAGTTGGCCAATTGATAGAACCACTTTTCCGGGCCATTTAAAATAATTACAAGTAATTTAGTAAAAGACTAATAATAGTCAACAGATTTGACTTTGTACACAAATTGTGAAACGATATGGAGTAATTGCTGTAATTCAAAAACAGAATATCTTTCGTCCGATAAATTAAATTAAATACACAAACTCTTTACAGGCATTTCAATACAAAAATATTCTAGTAAATATTAATTCGAATTCGAATTTATATGGAAAGACATATTTATCATATAAAATAAAACGTTTGGCATTTAAAAGACGAAATCTGAAATATTTCAATTTTCAATCAAAGCAAAAAATTAATCGGTTCAAACTAAAATACGATCGAATATGATTATCACGTGATTTTGAAACTGGGATTCGAATTGTGAGCCACTGTAAAAACAGTACATACACACACATATAACATATGTAAATATGTGTGTACATTAGTAACATAACGCGCAATAAAAAAAAATAATAAAAAAACACACATTTAGCTAACCGGGTCAACCGCTTGCGACGATTGCGTTTCGCATTTGCGATTAAAGTCACTGCAAATAATAAAAAAAAATGCATCGCATCAAACGCATTTTTGGCCCCGGGCCGAAGGGAGATAGGAGATCTGTTTGCTCCCTCAAATTTGTATCGCGAATTAAAGAGTAAAGAGTATGCGAAAAATGTACAAGGAACCTTGAGCAATTGTCCATGCAAATACACACACACACACACACACACACACGCACACGCACACTGGGTGGAGTTTGGAGTCGAGGCTGTAGCGCTCTCAAGGACGACAAGGACAGCGATAGATGACTTTTTATTTAAAGTTTCGATTTTTTTTTTGTCTTAATTTTTTTTTTGCATTTAATGTTTTTTGTGTCAAAAAAAACAACAACAAAAAAACACAACTTTGAATCATGCACACGACGCTTACGACGCTAGCAGCATTAGCGACTGCGCAGCAACAGCGTCAGTTAAAAAAAAATTATATATATATATATATGTGGTTCTCCCGCCCCCCTCAGCCTCCTCCTGCTTCTAACCGTTCGCCCACCTATCCTCGCCAGCGAGAAAATTTTCGTTGCTGCCTCGTGCTTTGCTTGGTGTCCTGTTTCTACACACAAACACACACGCACAAACACACACGCACATACACACATACAGTCGAGTCGCCGTTAGAAGCACCGTAATTTACGTGCTGCTTGCTCTCTTTCACAGAAAATCTCTTGCTTGTTTTCACACACACATTCGCATCGGGATATAGAGGTGCACACATACACACATAAGCTTTTCTTCTTGTTGAATTTTACTGTTATTCTGGAGTCTCTCTTGGCCATTGCTTTATATGTATGTATATATACGTGTAAGTGTATATGTATGTATTTATGTACAGCATCTACAGTTACTTTCAAATTTTACACAATATTTAATTTGTTGTGTTTGTGCACACACACACACACGTACACATAAACCAAAAGCTTTTGCTAAAATTTCGCATTATAATGAGTAATATGTATGTGTGTAGAAATGTTGAATAATTATATGCACACAAACGTACATATGTACATAATAAGTGTATAGCTATGTACATTTGTCTATATGTATGCGGGTAACTTTTAAACACACACACACACATATGTATACATATTTATGTATGTATATACATATCTATGCATGAAATGGGCACACTGGCATTTCTCACTCATTGCACTTTTCGGGTGTTCTTCGGTGGACGGGGGAGGAGTAGAAAAGAGGGTGAGGAGAAAGAGGCGCGTTTGTCTTTCAGTTTTCATTTTCATGCGCTGCCTTTTTGGCCAATTGGAAAATCGACAGAGAGAAAAGGAATGCAGACGCCAACTGAGCCGATTCTTTATTATTTTTTTGTATAGCTAGATATATAATCGTTTACATTTATTTGACCAACTAATAATAAAAAAGAAAACATTTCAACACACACACAGAACAAGTCTCAGTTCAGTCGTATTGGAATTATACATATACATATGTACTTAGCAGTATGTATGCATGTGAGTAGTGTGCGTGTGTGTGTGTTTCCAATTGGTGTTTGTTGCCAGTCCGTTCGCTGCTCAGCTTTGAGGCTGCTGAGAATTTTTTGCTTGCTGAGCCGTCGCAGCAGTGTTTGGCGTCGCCCCCTCCTCGCTATGTACATGTGTTTGATTCTGTGTGTTTGACTTTTTGGGCTTTGGGCTTTGCCACTGACGCACAATTTCAACAATTTCAGATGGAAAAAAAACGAAAAAAAATCTGCTTGCAATTTACCTTTTCAATGTTATTGCTACACTTTTTTACAACGACGCAGACGCACGGTAAATTGGTTCGGTGAATTTCTAACGCGCTCCCGCAACACGTCCGGCTGAAATTTCAACGCAAAAGTAGTGCTCCAAAAAGTGTCGTAGCCCTATCGATATTGTAAATCTAATCGATTTTCAGTCGATTAGATAAATTGCCGATTATTAATCGGTTTCAAATGCTGTATATGTATCTGTTATTGTATGCATCAATTCGCGATAATAAAGTCTTTATTCAATTTACTCATAATGACAAGACAAATCGATTTGTGGCCAGCGCATTGGCGTATTCTGCATTACAAATAAATTATGCAATAAATAATTATTACCAATAACAGTACCAATTGAGTTCACAGAGATTATCGTGTGGTAGTTGTTGCATATCGATAACCTATCGAATTTAGTGTAGTGCTTCAAAGTTAAATTTCCCTTTTCAATTCAGTGAACTGCTTATTACATTATTATTAATAGTATTTTTATCCTATATGTTGCGAAGACAAGTGTTTATTTAAAGCAACAGTACATAATACAGTTAATTATAGAATGTTCAATATTTTTACGTCCGTCTAGTAGTTATATAAATACATTTAAATCTCCCTCCAATTGTATGATATATGTATGGATCTGTGTGAGCAAAATAAGAATATAAATTTGTAATACTAAGATAAAATGACAAGGGATACTAAATCGGGGTCTCATGTAAAATTCACAAATGCATTATGTTGATAACTGGCAATTATATTCCTCTATTCTACTTCTCTTTTCGCGCAACCCTTTTTTAGTTACATTTACAGCTGTGACAACAGATGCTAGATGCTGGATGCTAGATGTTGCCCGTGTGAATCGTATTCGCATCTTTTACAAAACCCCATGTTTCCGCTAGATGGCGTTTTGCGTGAAGTGCCACAGCTGACTGGACGGACGCTGTGAATCCCTTCCTTGAAAACGAATACCGACGGTAATCGAAATATATCGAAGTATAAAGAATTTAATAAAAAGATGGACATACATAAATATAAGGTGCTTTGAGCTATCAATGGTCCGAAACGTTAATACGAATCACTTTGAAAACCCAACCATTTCAATACTCATTTGGCACTGTTATTGGATTAAATTTCGTAATAAAAACTTTAATGTTTTGTGCAAGTCATATTAATACACATTAAGTGACAACTATCGAATGTTAAGAAGACTGGAAACATCAGTGCTAACAATTTTCGATTACAAGAAATAGACAAATTGAACAGAAAAAGGCCCAAAAAATATGAGCATAGGAAATGTGCGAAATTAAATTCTGCATGATTGGGATGGCAATAAAACTCTATTAAATAAAATATCAATAATATACAGCTCATCATTAGTCATTTACATATGGTCAAATAATTTCCAGGCAGCTTGTAATAGACTGTATTTAATACCGCCAACGTCAGCGAAAAAGGCCAAAACGGCAACACTGCTAAATGATATCGACACATATCGAATAGTGACAAAGTGTGGACAATAGCGGTGAACGGTGAGAAAAACGCAAAAAGTCGAAGCAGAAAGCGAAAAGCAGAGAAGGAGAAGCTGATAACAGTGGAACTACAACATTTTTGCACCTTTTGCAGAAACAATTATTTGTTGAACGCACAGTGCTGACTTTTTTTTTTGATTTGTGAATCGTGCTCCTGAAGAAACTCAAACCCAAACAAAAAGAGACAAAACCACAATTGAAAGATGAATAATGGATTCAGTTCCGGTGAGGAGGACTCACGGGGTGGCCACACTGACCAGACCTGCTGCCTGATCGATGACATGGAGCGGTGTCGCAACCAAGCTGGCTATGCCAGCTACAGCAAACGCATACAGAAGACTGTCGCCCAGAAGCGACTCAAGCTGAGCAGCGACGCAAGTGCGCAACACATTTACATATGCGACTATCACAAGGAGCGCATCCAATCCGTGCGAACGAAGCGGCGACGCAAGGATAGTGAGGACGACAGTAATGAGACGGACACCGATCTGCACGAATTCCCCGATCTCTATCAGCTGCATGTGGCAACGCTGCGCCGCTACAAGCGACACTTCAAGGTGCAGACGCGACAGGGCATGAAGCGTGCCCAGTTGGCCGATGTGAGTTGCCCAAAAATCAAATCAAATCGTACTGCGATATACTACTGTACTGCATATGACAATAATTATTCACTCCTCTCGCTTTGCAGACCATTATGAAGCATTTCAAAACAATACCCATCAAGGAGAAGGAGATTATCACGTACTTTGTGTACATGGTGAAAATGGGCTCCAATAAATTAGATCAGAAGAACGGCATCGGCAATGATACAACTTGAACGCAACTCTGACAGCTGTGTCTCTATCGCAATAGTTATCGTTATCGTTTATGAAGCCGTCTGCTGAATTCAGCGCAAGTTGCCTTGCTCACACACACTCACAACTACGTAAAGCATTTGTACAGTGAAGTCGAATTAGAATTTGCAGCAAACATTTACCTTTTTTTAATGTTTTTTTGTGCTTGTGCTCAGTAAATAACTAACAATTTAGAGTTTCATTAATTATTATTAGTATTGTTTCTTTTTTTGGTACTAAATAACTAACAATTTAAAATTGCATGATTTAAAAAGAGATTTCTTTTTTCGTTTTGATGTCATCTGTTTCGATAAACTTTGCAGATTTCACTGTACTACGTCAGCATTATTGACTAAATGCCCTAATAGCCTAAATAAACACACACAAAAACAACAGCCACAGCAACAACAAGTAGAAAAGAACACTTCTGGTGTAAAAGAATAGTAATTGTAGTGTTTGTCGTTGTTAATAGCTTCTTATAGGAATTATACATAGATAATAAATGAATTTTAAATTGATGAATGTAGGAGCAACTAACATTTACCACCTTAGTCGTTAATGCTTTTCTTTTATCATCACTTGGCCAAAAGCAGTTAACTCTAAATATAAATTCGAAATATGCCAACGTAAAATGAATGAGTTCTAGAAACAACAAGCAATATCTTCATAACATTCTACGTAAAATACAAATTAAATAAAATTAAAAAAACACAAAAATGTTGTAATACTACACACATATGTTATTATTTTTATTAATAATGTATTTTTAATTAAATTGTACATGTAATTTTAAGAGACCTATTAAAAACGAAAACATTTTTAAACTAAATTAAAACCAACGTCGATTTTTAAACAACAAAACTGAGATTTTGTGTACCCAAAGTATCTTTTGAATTTAGATATATTGAAAATGAAAATGTTTTTCATACACATACTTCATTTTCAACCGAAAATCTAGGCTTGCCTGTGATTTCAAAAGATCAAAAGATTTCCGATTACAACTGATAACATCACGACTCAATATTTTAATATCGCTTGCAAATCTGCTCAAAGCAATATAACAACAGTATAACAGTACATTCGTGCTTTCGCAGAGAGATCGACACTCGTGATCAGAGAAGAGAACTATTTTTTATGTAATGCCGTTACCCGAGGTATGGCTATGGAACGCAATGAAAAGAGATAAACACATTTATTTCGCCCTCTTTCTATCTCTCTCTCTCTCTCTCTTGTAGAGCAATGCGCAAAACAACGAAAATCTGCGAGTTGATTTGCTTTTGCTCGCAATCAGTTCATAAGACAATCGTGAATCCGAATCCCAATCCGATTCGTGAGCGAACAAAAAGCTGTCGATCACTGAACTTTTAGCAGTTCTCAGCCCACAATGAGAACACATCGCATCGGACAAATCGTATTTGCAACAAGGAAAAAGTTGTTTACTGGTAAATAAATATATATTTTTAAATTAGAATTGAAAAACGAAGTAACATTAAAGCCTAAATTTTTTAATTCAATTTGTTGAACTTGTATTCAACTAATAAGGTTGTTGGTATCTAGTATATTAAGTATTAAATGCTACACTGTCAAAAATTTCCGAGAAAAATTCAATGATTGAAGGAAGAAGGCGAAATCTAACGAAATCAAAACTTTGATTGATGAACACCACAGGGTACCTATTGATAAAGGTGTAATAACCACAGAAGGGGAACAGTTATTCTTTAGCACCGACTTCAGATGATGTCCAGGAATAGACTTAAAGGAAATTTCTTAAGAAAGCACCTAGGAGCGACGAAGTTAGCAAAAGGTATCCATTCTGTCATCCTCATCTTCAATACTAAACTAAAATAAGTTTACTTCCACCGTTCAATATGCCTTTATCCTTTTCCATTTCTTTTCATTGTGGCCAACAATTGTGTTATCGGTCGATTTACTTTCTCAGATTTATCGAAACTTGATATTCTGGGAGGAGAAGCTTGATAGATAACTAAACGGGGAAATTAAATTTGTCCCAAATTGCTTTGATTTGGCAGTTCACAAACGGAGGAGTATTATGTGGTCAGATGAATCAAAATCGATTTTATAGTTAATGACCAGCAAACACTTAGGTCAGCCCAAGATTGTGGAAAATGCCCAAATCTGTCACAACGTGGTTCCTGGACAACGAAATTAATGTCTTCTTTTAATGAGCGCAAAATCGATAAAGCCGAAAGTGATAAAATTTCAACCACCCAATATTTATGAACTTTGAGACGTAGTAAATCACTCTTGGACCTCCATACCAAAATAATTGGCTGGGTGTTTCGCTTCTGTAACAATTACTAAAATTAGTTTAACCTCCTATTGGAGCCATAATCAAAACATATTAATCATTTTGATCAAATTAAGAGACTATATTTAATAAAGAAAAAAAAAAAACAAGAGCACTACTATTATTTATACAGCAACCTTGCTGAAAAATCTTCTTCGCTTTCTTAAAGACAGCTAATTATATATTTGAGAATATTATTTTTTACTTATATTCTTGATTGGCCGACCCATTTAATGTTGTGATGCGAATTCTTCGCACTGGTTTTGTTTCAATTATCGCAGTGTCATCCAAATACTGAGAGCAGCAAATTGAATTAGGAACATCCCCTATGAAGTGTGTTTGAGGAGCATAATCCATAGAAAACTGCTTGACGTTGCTCTGTGTGAATTCAACCTAAAATTGAGCAGTCCATAAATTTATAATAACGAATTGTTAGTCGCCCGCGCAGTCTATCGTTAAAATTGATATTTGAACTCGATACATTTTTGGCTTATTTTGTTTTCATTCACTTGTGGTCGCCAACAATTATCGATATTGGCGATAGTACATCGCCAATTGGCCACATCTCTAGCTTAGTTAATTTTTTGTGGTGGTTACTATGCAAATGTGCTGTGCGCTGCTGTTTTTTTTTAAACAATTTGTCACATTGATATATATAGTATCCAAATTTCTCAGTCTTAGTTAATTTTGTTAAGCAACGGGCGTGTATCTTCTTCCATTGCCGGAGCATTAAAGCAGAACACAAAAAAAAAGAAGAAAAATACGGACACTCGCACACACACACAGATACCAACGCTACATTCAAAGACGCACACACGCCAAGCGTGCGTGTGAGTTTGGTGTGTGTGTGTAATGTATAGTGTGTGAGTGTTGGTGTGTGTGCGTGTGTGTGTGTGCCAGTGTCAGTGCGTGCTGCTGTCGTTGCAGAGAGGAAGCAGCTGGCAAAGACAGGCGACACGGAAAAAGGAGAAGCAGCCTTAGAAGAAGCAGCAGCAGCAGTTTGCATCAGGAATATTGCAACAGCAAAATCAACATCAGCAGCAGTAGCAGCAGCAGCAGCGGCGAATAGAAGCAAAGTTTCATATACATAAAACAGCAGCAGTAACAGCAACAACAACAAAAACAGCAGCAACGACAACAACAAAAGCAAGCAGAAACAACACAACAAAGGTGTTGGCTGCCCCACAAAATGCAGCAGCAACAAGAATCGGGGGGCGAGGAGAGCTGGCTGGAGGAGCAGTGCCATCATGAAATCAACGGTCAGAACGATGAATACGAGCGCGAGTTTGTGCGTCAGCGCGACAACAACTTGAGCACAGTCTGGGGCGCATTCCAGGACTCGGCGACTGCCGTTGCCCAGCTCTATCGCGGTAAGTCCTTCCCAGCAATTTCCATTCCCAATGCAAATTTCCCATTTGGGTATTGTTTGTATTTTGATTTGTTGCATATGTATGTATGTGTTATGTATGTATGTATGTACACACGCACACACACACACACGGTATGTGTGTGCTTAAAAATAGTTTGGGACAAGCGTATTAATAGCGGCCGCGCTGCTTGCTGCCTTTGCAACAATATACATAGGCATGCATGTGTATGTATGTGTGTGTATGCATGTATGTGTGGGCAACACAGGCCCGGCTTTTAAGCTCTCTTTGACTGTGCGTCTGTCTGTCTGCCTGCCTGTTTGTCTGTCGGTGTGTGAGTGAAAAAAACTTTGGTGCGCTGCTCTTGCAGGCATCATTCATCGCATCATTCACACTGCTTCACACGCCTTTACATTCTCCACATTCTCGATTCCCCTCCTCGCTGCGTTTCATGCATTATCATTCTGCATGCAAGCAGCAGTAGGATGAGGAGGAGGAAAAGGGCTTCGAATGTCAGATTGATGCCTCTTCTGTGTCTAATTTTCAGTGTTACCGTTTTGCACAAAACCAAAGCAAGGCACAAGTGCGAGAGACGCAATAATAATGTGGGGAGCAGCAGCACTCTGAATTTATTATCCATTCTATCTCTATCCATTTACACGCTTAACGGTTAGATTCCTTCGATTCTCTTTTCGCATGCCATGTACCTAAATACATACATACATATGTACGAACATCATAGTGCGTCATTAACAGAGAACAAAATTTGACAAACAGCTGTTTTGTCGTTGGCAGTCGCTGCAAACGCAGGCGGAGCCAAAGGCAAAGCCAAAACCAAAGCCAGAGCAGAAATTCGCCGCCGCCGCCCTAGGAATATGCATTTGTGCTCTTTGCTCCTTCCTCTTTGCTGTTCTTCCTTTTCCTCATTGCATTTCTAATGTGTTGGCTTGATTAGAAATGATTGTGTCTATTTTTCAGTGTTACCCTAATTCAGAAAAAAGACGCGAAAAACGCACTAATTTGTGTGCGCTGCGCATTAAAAATTTGCATTTAACGTTCCTCAGATTTAAGCCAATAACTGTTATATATTATTTATTATGTGCTCACTTTTCGTCTGTATGTGTGAATGTATGTATATAAATACGGCATTTGACAAACAGCTGTTTTTGACAGTGCAGTGCAGCAGCGGCAAGCGGCGATAGACAGAGACAGAAAGAATATTTCATCCTGTGCTGTGCTCTCTGCTCCTCGATTCCTTTTCGTATTCGCTGCACGCGGCCACACTGAAAAACGAAAAAAAAAAACAATTTGACTTCCCGGTTGTGATTGCAAAATTATTTTTGTGGTTTTAGTGCCATCTCGCTTCCACGTGGTTAGTCCGCTGCGGATCGATAACGACAAGTTGCTATGCTTTCGTCCTTTTGCCTTTGGCAGCAGCTATTCAGTATTGTAAATTGCAAAAGAGAGATATAGAGACATAGAGAGAGAGAGAGAGAGCGAGTCATTTGCTTAACTGATCTTAGATGACCACTATTTATTCTCTTTCTCCCTCTCTTTCCATTTGATTTTTGTGTACTCTAAAATGTGGACGATTCGGTTAGGTATGCTGATCAAGAATATACATACATATATGTATACTTTATGGAGTTAGCATGCTCTAGTCGCGACAGTTGATCAATAATATATCAGTGTGTATCAATTCTATATCTACATATGTGTCTTTTATTGTTATTATTATTATTTTACTATTATTTAATATTCTATATGATTTCTATCGATTTATATCGATATTCCCAAATGGCGAGCAGTTATCGGTCAAATTAAATCAACTACGCATGAATTTATCAGAACTTAAAATTAATTACCCCCAGCCTCTTAGCTCTCCGAGATTGACTAGATCAAGAATATATATATATATCTATATCTATATACCTTGTGGGGTCGGATATGCATCATTCTGCCTGTTCAGTGTATAACCAATAATTGTAATTTGCTACTCAAATATAGTGTTTGGCTTGTATTTGATTGCCTACAACAGACTATTCTATATACGTTCAGTAAAAAATGTGAAATGCATTGATTCTCAGCGTGCTAACCGATTTTGATCCAGTTGTTATATCTTGTTGACTTTTGCAGAGCGCTCATCCAACACAGACACTGGAGCGATGTGGCTTCCTTTTCAGACAGCAGCTGGCACTGTGACAACACTCTACAAAGGTAAGTGGCAAGTCTCACTATTGATGCTTGGCAGCTAATTACAAATATAAATTTGCTTACATTGCAGAATCATGTGATGGTCTCAAACGCACCAGCGACGCTGCCATTCAATGTGGCTACCAAAGACGCACACGCGAACTGGCTGATTGGGCGCGCAGCAAAAAACGCCGAATGATACGACGAGAGGATTTGCTGGCATATTTAGCTGGAAAACCGCTGCCAACACAATCAACGAATCCACATGCCAATCGTCGGTGAGTCCGCCTTCTCAGGCTTTCGAGCATATCCCCATTAAACTGTTGTTTTTTCTTTCTTCATCGTTCGTTCGTCCATCCATTTTGGACGGCAGCTCGCCGAAGCCAGAGCATCATGTTCATCATCAAGTTAGTGGAGGCGCCAATTGTGGCACTGGCTCGGCGATAGGCTTTGCCAACAACGGACTGAGCATGATGCCACCCACAGCAGCCGGCGGACAGCCAATGCATTTGCTAAACACCGCCAGCGGTCAGGCGGCGATGGTGGGCGCCACAGGCGCCACTGGCGGCATCGTCGGTGATGATTTACACACTTTCAAGGAGGCCTTAGTTTTGCGTCCCCGGTAATTAGCGAACTTATATTGTTTCCCCATGGAATTCTTCATATAGAATCAAAAGTTATTGCACAACTTTATCGCTCGGCTAACTTGATTAAATTGAAATGATTTCACTTCACTCCAAACTAGTTGTTTATTCATGTACCTATTAAAACGAATGCTTTCATTTGTTTTGCCCTTAAGGACATATATTCTGTGCACAAAAGTAATTCAAATTGTACATTACATATATTCGAAATCTATTTTGAATCAGACTAGAAGAATGCATCAAGATTTTGGTTGAGATCATCAGCATTGACTTCTTGACTAAGAGAACGCTTGAGTTTTAATTAAGCTATAACTTTGTTGTTTGCCGATTAAGTCTCCAAATTCTATGATGAACAAGTAATCAATAATCTCTCAACTTGAATATATGATGTGATCTGAAATTTAGAATATTTTTAACTGAAGACAAAAACATATTCAAGAGCCAAATCAATACATTATATTTATTATGTGAATCGATATATTTTATTTATTATGTGAAAGAGAACCTTGTGTGGCTACCCTTGCCATTGTAGTTTGAATTGAACACGTTTTCATACATTTGCCACATCTCAATTCTGTCTCATTTGTTAAATTTGTGTTTCTTTCTTCTTTTTTTTTAGTGGACCAGAGCTATTTGCATTTGTTGCCAACGAAATAGCGCGCCACTGCAAGCGTCCCGGTAGTCCCATAGATGATAAAATGGACATTTGCCACTACAGCAGTAAACGTCAGCGCTTTATGTAAAGCAAGCCGAGCTGCACTCAATCAGCGAAGGAAAGCAAGCAGTGTGTACATACCCATTCACGCACTCACTCACTCATTCACTCAGCCACACATACACTCATCCGGAAAGCAAATACAAAAAAACTCTTCCCGCTTAATGGGCAACAGCAGCAGTAGAAGCAGCAGCAACATCAGCAGCAGCAACAACTTCAGCAGCAGCAACAACATCAGCAACAGCAGCAGTAGAAGCAGCAGCAACATCAAAATCAGCAGCAGCAACAACATCGGCAACATCAACAGCAGCAACAACATCAACAACATCAGCAGCAGCAGCTGCCACAGCAGCAACGATCTTGACAACAAACAGAAGACGACTCAAGTTACCGCTTAGCACTGGCAAAAGTGTTGCATCGAGTTGGTGTCAGTAATAGTAGTATACGGTTTAAATGTGTTTAAGCCATTTCATATTGCTTGCGTCCTTGCTATGCCGAACTCAACACACGAAAGGCGCATCCTGTTGTAAACACACACACACACACACAGAAATACACCCCATTATTATTAGTCTAAATAACTGGAAAAATAATATAAAAAACCATCATAAGTTAAGATTAGTTACTTATTGAGAGTAAAAAAGCTTTTGTTGCAAATTTAAAGTCAAAATGAACATAACAAAAAGTGTTTATACTTAGCCTGGTATGTCTCAACTACATACACTCATACCCATACACACACACACACACTCACACTCACACACACACATACACATACACAAAATTGTTATATGTAGACTTTAATGAATTTAAAAAAAAATAAAAAAAAATAATGATAATGAAAATGAAAATGAAAAATAAACCACTCTCCCATTTGGCATAAGACAGTAGACGTAATACAAAGCGATTTATGCACGTATTCAAACCGTTATGTAGCAAATGTTGTAAATTATATTTGACAAATCTACAAATCAGATACTGTTCTAAGCCAAAAGATGTAATGTAAATACAGAAATGAAATGAAAAGAGCAAGACAGAAGGCGAAATAGTTTGAGCACAACCAAAACGGGTTAAATGTTGCATGTGCCACTAACGAAGAACTTAAACTAAACCCTTATTAGATGTTTACATTATATGTATATGTATATCAGATATTCATCTATATCATACAGACCACGCCATCGAAACGCTTCCCAATTTTTCGAGACACAAATCAAAACATACAGAGAAAAAAATAACGCAAAACTAAAACTAAAACAAAGCAAAAACTGAATGCAAAATGATTAAATAATAACTCACGGTACATTTGCATGGATATTTGATCTTGGCAACAACCTTCCGTATTTGTAGCTAGCCAGGTAATACATCTATTTATTCGTATAGAACCTATATATGTATATGATTAGCATATGATGATCAAGTTGAGAAAATTAAAAACACAAAAAATACAACAAATTACATGTATTGAAGCAAAGTCCTATGAAATCTTGAGTTGTAATAAATGTAACAACTATGCTAAAATACACAATATACATAAAAAAATAAAAATAAAAAACAAAAGAACAAGCAATTAAAAAAGAAAAAAATTATACAAAATTAAGAAAAACACTAAGTTAAATAAAAACATTTAAACTATGACAAAAACAGATATTTTCATCTCATTTCTTTGCAACTTTGGATTCTTATTCCATATATCTTTTGCAGTAACATATATATTATTTGATATTTATGTGTGTGGGAAGTTCACATTCTCTATATGATTCTTAATTATTTATTTAAGGTATCACGATGGATTTTTTTTGAGATGATTGTACGATTGTGCCTCGAAAGTTGTTCTGAAAAAGAATGATTTATTTCTGTTGTCTATTTTTTTTAAAGGGGAAGACAGACTATCTTTTTAGACTAGAAACTAGCGGAAACAACCTGCCAAAATCCAAATTTCGCAATATATATACAAAAAGTTGAAGAAAATAACCGACGGATTATTTTTAATTAAAGCTTTAAGATATAGTAATCCTTTTGTTGTACATTTTGTGTCCAAGTGTTAGGAATATAGTAACGCTCACAGCGTGTGAGTTTTCTTCGGATAAATTGGTAAAAAAAAAGTTTTCCACACAGTAACTCATCTCTCGATCAATGGCCATCCGTTGCGGATCAGATAGGTGTAATGTACATAGTTTCATCAAAAATAGCTTTAAAATTGATCGAGCTTGGCACATAATAGCAAAAAATAGGACAGACGCTGATCATGCATATGTATATATACTTTATGGGATCGGTGCTGTTTACTTTAAAGAGCCAAAGATTTCACAAAAATATATAGCGAAAGGCATTTCATGAAACTTCTCTTTGATGAAATGATGAGAACTGGCTCCAAGGATGTAACAACTAACGCCTAGAACAATAAGATTAGAAGTGAACCCATCCATAACCCATTAAATAAATCGAGGAATTATACATTGAAATTCATTGCTATTTTTATTTTCATATTTATATCATATGTATATATATATTTTTTTTATTATTTATTTTTGTTGTACATTTGTGTGTACTTATTATAGTGTATAACTGCACAGCTGGCAATTAATTACATATACATCAATTGGGGAATTCATTAGTTAATACAAAACAAGACGATGCAACATAGCAAGTCTGTCAAACTGTGCAGCCGAGGGGGGCGGGGGATGGGGGCACCCAAACACTGGCTATCCACAACCCGTAACATAACTGCAAATATCTGTTTTTTTTTTTTTTTAACTCTCGATTGAATCGTTATTGGTAACAGAGAAAAATATTGGCCAAGAAAAATAAATTAAAAAAAAAATTAGAAACAAAACGATAAAAATGTGCCAGTTGCAGCTATAAACCTTAGTGAACAAAATTAATTAAATCTCAACTATTTATATCAACAGCAACGAAATGAGCACAGCAACAGTTTGGTATGCTGTGCAGCAAAACACAGGTTTCGTTATTTTCTGTATTCGTTTTGAACTAGAGATTGCAACAAATCTACTACTACTACTGTAATTTGGATGGTATAGCAGTTGTTGAAAGGATTTCAACGCATGGTAATGCCATCAAATTTTGCTCAGTGCAGCAATTTGTAGAAAAATTAAATCATTTCCGATATAGTTTATACTTAATTCTCTTTTTCTTTTTCTTTTTTTTTTTTGTTTTATAAATGTTTGTTTAGCTATGTATGCAAAAGAAAAATTTGTTTATAATTGTCAATCGGTGTAACGGTAACGATAACGATACTTTTAAACTAATTACAATGCCTTGCCCTAAACGGAATGTTTATGCTACATTTCCAACTCTTACCAGAACTGTTCAACTGTTCAACTATTCCTATTACATATCAATTGTCCGAGTGTTTTGCTCTGATATGCAAAAGCGATCGATCGACTTGAATTGTGGAGGAATCGTTAGTGAGAACAGTTCATTCATATGTATATACATATGTGTTTTTATATACATATAGCTATATGTATACATATATAGTACTTAATATGCCAACGAAAAAATGAATGCACAAATTAAATTTAAAAACTTTAACGTTAACGGACTTATTTTTTGTATACATATTTATATATATATATATGTATATATATGCATATATATATATATATATACATATATATATCTATATAATTGTGTGTATGTGTGTTTCTAGTGTTGGTCGTTCTCTGATCTTGTTTTGTTGTCCAATTTAATAGCGAGCATAAGGTTTGGTGTTTAGTATGCGTGTGTGTGTGTGTGTGTGTGTCAAGTTCCTTAACACAAAGCAGTGCGTAACCGTTGCGCAGATGGCAGCCTAAAACTGCACCCAGTTGGCATTTGCCGTATTCTGTTGGCCTTGATTGCCCCTGCGAGAGTTGAGACGAGAAGATTCATTAGTTTTGATGCTCATATCGATTGTTCGATTGTTGAAACTTACCCGGCGGATGTGTAGTCGGTCCACTCCGTGCCGGTGCCGCTGCCTCCGCTAGTCCTGTGAGCTGGCGAGGCACCTGGACTTTGTCGCAACGTCGCTGTAGCCGGTGCCGCCGGTGGTGGTGCAATTTTACCCAGGCCACCAGGCGGCGGTGGTAGAACCCCGCCGGTACCTTTTCCTTTGCCGGTACGCGAGGTGCCTTCGGAGCCATCCTTTTTCTGCATAGAAATTCGTTTAATCATTCAACTTTAATCGTCGACAAGTTTTCAAATATTCAAGATAAAAAATATAACAAAATGTATAAAAAATAATATAAAGTTTTAACATAAATTAATTGGGGATATGACATTATAAAATAGTCCAACATTTGTTGGGAAAACCCCAGGAATCTGAGCTAGGAATTGGGAAGTGTTTGTAGTTTTTGTTTTCGAATTGAAAAAATTTCAAGTAAAGTATTCAATTTTAATAAATTTAAGACAAAAAGGGAAAATTTGCTAGCCATGCAAGAGCCAACAGACTCACAACTAGTCTGGACACAGAAACTGGCTTGAATTGAATTTGTAAGACTGCTTCAGGTGGTGACTCATATTTATATGCATGTGTCAAATTCACTTGCCACATGTAATTTGTAAATTGATTCCTCACAGAACTAGACAAGCATGGGAAGTCAACATTTTAACAAATTGTGGCTGTGCAGAATCTTCGGCTTTGCGAACAAAAACCAAACACGCAGAGCAGAAGAGCAAAAACAAATGAGTCTCTCAAAGAAAATAAAGTTGCTGTTGCATGAAACTATCTAGTTTCTCATTCCACGGACCTCAAGCTCATCATCATCATCATCACAGCGATGCAGCATCACGAAAGGTGAAACCAACTGTAACAGGCTGAAATATGCAATGATTGACATATTTTTCGTATATTATCGAAATGCTATTTTTAAGAACTGTTCGGTTTATCTTGGCACTTTTCAAATACAGCTGCCACAGAGGTAAACAATATATATTTATCTATTATACATTTTGGCAATTAATAATAAAATGGTTAATTGAAAGTTTATAGAATATGCACTAATTTGACATTGGCACAAGTGCATTAGATTAGTGACAATGTCGAACATTTTCAAAGAACTTGCAAATCACCGGCACAGACAGACAGAGACAGAACGAGAGATTGCCCAGGGAAAGAGAGAGCGAGAGATAGAGAGTAAAGCATTGGACTGTGTTCGGTGAGCAGTGAACTTGACCAGAGTCGGCCATCCAACGCTCAGCACAGCTTCAAGGCCAGACTCTCAAAGTTTGATAATGAATGGAGCAGCAAAACGAGCGCACAGCGATGCGATATATCTTTTGGCTGACTAACAGTCATGCGACTGCCGAAAAAAATAAAACAAAAATAAGCCTGATTAAAAATGGGAGAAAGCATATAACATATTACATGTGAATTGTGCTTCTCATTTTTGTGGCATCAATTTGGACATTCTTCAAGCAGCTGCAACAATCAATTATCATAGTGCATAGTTTGGCTTAGTGGTAGATACCACAAAACAGCTCTTCTCTCGCCACTAACTGTCTCTTTATGCCAACCTGTTCTATAAAATAAATTTGATCATAATTTCCCTTTACGAAAAACTGGGCACGTTGCGGTCGCCCCTGCGTAAGCCACTTATTTTTCAACAAGCGATTACTCAAATCATCTTCATCAATATTATTATTATTATTATTATTATTAATGGTTAAGTCTGGCAAGTCTGTCAATTAAAAGAGTAGAGATTTGCATCTTTCACAGTATTTGAGCTAAGGTCAACAAATTTGAATGGTAGACGATTCTTCTATTCTTCAGTTACAGTTGTAATTGGGGATTGATAACTGAGACATGACAATGGGAATATTTGTAAAGTAAGACTAACCGTAATGCGCATGTTAATTTTAATGGTTTCACCCTCCTTGAAGCCCAAGTCGAGCTCTTGCTTCGGTTCGGTTTTCTCCTTTTCGATTTGCTCCTGATTCTTCACCCACTTGAAGTGATCCTGTAACGCCACATTCAGGTCAAACGAATCGGAGCGATCTCCAAAGCCGAGTCCCAGAAACGCCGATCGTCCGTTGTCGTCCTGTACGCGTATGACAAAGTACCGTGAACTGTCCGAGACGGCTTCGATGGCCACGCCGGGATATGTATCGATGGGGCAATTGGCAAACAGGGCGCCGCTCGTCTTATCCTCCAGCTTGAGGATGCATGCGGTTCCCTTCGCCACCAGACGCATCCGGCCGGTCCAGGTTGGCTCTTTGAGGTTCCAGTCCGCTGCTCTGTTTAAATGTTTAAATTGTGTTGTACAAATTCAATTTTAGTTCATAAATTCCACTGTTTATTTTCTGGCATCTGCAAATGTATATGTGTGCATGAGTGTGCGTGCTTATTTGCATGTGTGTGTGTGTGTGTGTGCGTGTGTATTTACTGTTTTCTTTGAGGCGAACACAAAGAAAGTCAGCAAGAGTAGCAAAAACAAAAAAAAAACACACACACACACAATCACACTTGTACAGAGCTTTGGCCACACACACAAGCTTACATACACACATACACATATGAACAATTCACTTGCAAGTTAAATAAATGTACAGCAATTGAGAGAAACTGCTTAAGGCAAGCAGGCAACAACTGCAGTACAACAAAATGCAGACACGAAAATATAAAAAACGAAAACGAACAAGAAAAAAAAAAAACACAAAAATTATAAAATTGCAATTGAACTTCAAAAGAGACAGTGAACAGAGAACAGTGGAACAAAACAACAATGTCATGTTCATGTTTTTAACCTTGGCTACGTTTGCTTGCCACATATTTTGTTCTGATTTCCGGGTCTTGCGCATTTTTAACATAATTTATGCATTCATCACGAACACACACACACACACACACACACATACATGTACATATACACACAGATGTGTACTGATGTGGGGGCGTCTTTGCATGAAAACACGAAACTTTCAATTGCACCACACAACAACAACAGCAGCAGCAGCAGTAGCTAGACAGTTTTTGTATTTTGGCCACAATTTGCAGAGTTGTAGATGAAATCTCACCTGTATCCTCTGTTGCTGGCGCGAGGCGGTATTTTGTATATGAATACCTCGGGCTTAACAATTAGCACACTTTCGTACTCCATGGTTTATTTTAATTAATACTACTGTTTATTATCTTGCGTTTACGAGTTAAAGCTTACAACTATATATACTGTGGAGCTGCAAGTCAATCGATGCCAGATATTATTGGCGTGGCCTATCGAATGGCCTCCACACCGATTAGCACAGACCAATACAAAATAAAATATTTCCAGGTTGCCACGTAGCTAACACATGCAGTCTGGCAATATGGTAGCAGCTGATAATTCGATAAGTCGCATTGTTGTATCGGCAAAAAGTCGACCAGGCGACAGCTGCAACTGTGTGCTGATGTGTTTAAAGTGATCAAGCTGGTTTAGATTATCCTTGATTATTACAGCCGTGCTGCCTCTGGGTCCATTTCACCACAGATCCTTGCTCAGTCTTTACCCTAAATGCATCCATGTCAGGCCAGCGACACATGTATTGGAGCATTATCCTGCTGGAAAAAGGCATTTGGGTCTGGTTGATGATTCATAAAGTTCACCCAAACCTTTTTCCACAGGTTTATATAAACTTCCGATTTTATACGGCTCTTGATAAATAACTAACGGGACTTGCATTCCAATGCATCATAACAGTGTACCGATGTAAAATGAGTAAACAGGGTTCCATTATGCTTGGTATAGCTTTTAGTACCACGAATTTAGCCGACAACGCCATCGAACACGATTCCGAGGTTGCCGCACAGTATTTGGCGTATCGCCATCTATCGTATGTTTTTACATCGACTGTTGCGCCATTAGCCGGAACAGCATCCACATTCACATTCAACGCGTCGTTAACTTAGCAGTGACACAACTTAGTGGAGACACAATTAAAATCACACCTTATACCTATTTAATTGTACTCTGATACTGGAAATGTATGATTGGGTAAATAAATGTGAAGAGAATCACAGAGTTTTTTCGGTAATTATTAAGTAAATAAAATGCTGAAATTCTACTACTTGGCAATAGTCTCGGCGTCTAATAAGTCGATCAGAAAAGCCAAATGAAAATTGGTCAAATATGAACTACAGCGTGACTCAAATTGACTAACTTATTTATCTCACCTCGTCCTTAACGTAAATCCATTCTTTGATGTATAAGTTTTACAGTGGCTTTTCCAGAGTAAAAAAAGGAAAAATCTTTGTAGTTGTTGTTTTTTTTTTAAGCTTTATTAATGCAAATATCAAATCGATAACAATAGATACATCAGCTATATACGTTTACTTTGCATACAAGTATCAAATATTATGTAGATTAAAAAAAAACAGTAGATATGTACTTGTATATATTTATATATATATGGTATGCATGTATATATGTATATAATAAGATATTTATATATACCAACCAACCGCGCAACTTAATACGAAAAAAATGCATATTTCAACTCGGATCAATTTGTTTGAGTTTCGTTTTAAGCTTTGTATATAAAATATATGTACATGCATTATACAGTTGTAGATATGGATATACATATATAATGATAAGCTATTGCATATATGTATGTATGCATATATGTATGTATAAAAAACATATTTAGAAGGCACATAATTACAGGCGCTGCCCTGCTGCGGCACTACGTGCCCAGCAGAATTGTGACGCATGGATTGGGTCGCTATTCCTCTCCACCCAGACGGAGTTTGTGTATATTTATATATAAATGTATATATATATATAAATGTGTGTGTGTGTGTGTAATTTACAGTTATTGAGGATGTTGATTTTGAAGTGGTTTCTGCTCCTGCTACTTAGTAGGGATTGACTGCGGCGAGACCAACGCGTCCACCGGAACGGGCAAACACCGGCTCCGCGTAGCTATGACGATAGCCCTTCGGCATGTTGGACAGTGGCTTGCCTGTGCCGGATCCAGCGGCGCTGTTACTATTGTTGCTGTTGGCTCTGGGTGCCGGCGATGGATATCGGACGGCTTGATGTGGCACACGCGATGACCTGGACTTGGCCGGCTCTGCCGGCGGCAGGCACTCGCGCGATTGGGAGCGCAGCTGATGGCGCGACTGCAACTGCGACTGTGACTGATGGCTGTCACGAATTCGCTCCCGATCCCGTTCCCGCTCCCGCTCCCTATCCCGATCCCTTTCTCTCTCCCGTTCGCGCTCCCTCTCATGGCGATAGGGATCATGCGGCGGCTCTTCACCGCGTCGCATGGGATAATCGCGATCGCGACGATCCCGATCTCGTTCTCTGTCCCGGTCCCGGTCTCGTTCCCGTTCCCGTTCCGGTGCACGTTCCTGGCCATGTCGCATGTTGCTGCTGCTGCCGCTGGTTTGCTGCAGCTGCAGCTGCTCCTGTTCCCAATGCTCACGTGAACGCGCACGCGAACGGCTTAGCATGGACTCCGCCGGTTGTACAGGGGATAGCAGCTCCTCCTCCTCGTCGCTCCACTGCTCATAGCTGGACGGCTCCACGGAGCCGCGACGTCGCCGCGACGATGATCGATGATAATCGTTAGTGGGAGGCACAACTGGCGCACCATTGACGCTGTCGCGCTCATCCAATTCGTAGCGATTGCTACCACCGCCGGTGCGCTCCATGGCCCGGAACTTGTCCTTGGCATCGTGGAAGCGCTCCCGCGGCGACACTTGACTGCTTGTAGCTGTTCCGGCTCCGGCTGCTGCTGCTGCAACTGCTTGTGGATAATCCCGTACATAATCGCTGGCATCACGACGATTGCCCTCCCGACTGCTGGTCGGCTTGCGCGGCTGATCCTCATTGTAGCGCATGCCCGTTGATTTCATCATCTTCTCCATGCTCTGTATATATGGCAGGCTCTCCGCCTCGCGATACGGATTGCGATCCCGCGAATGATCGTGCTCATGGTCGCGATCACGATCTCGATCCCTTTCCCTCTCTCTCTCTCTCTCCCTCTCTCTCTCTCTGTCGCGATCATGGCGGTCGCGTTGGTCCGTTTGGCTGCAGTTGCTGCTGTTGTTGCGCGTCAATAGCTGCTCTTCGGAACCACGATGAACTGCCGCATATTTGTTGTGACCCACGGGCAGTGGTTGCTCGAAGGGCAGCTCAGCGGGATCCACATAGCGATGCCGACTGCCACCATAGCGTTGAGCCTCCTCTGCCGCGTATGATTTCAGCTGGTGTTTCTTCGAGGCGTATTCCATGAACTTCTGCTTGTCCGTGAGATTCTCCTTGCGGTAACCGGAAACTGGTGGTTGCAGCTGTGGCTCGCTGCACGGATCCGAGTCATTAAAGTCATCCAAATCCTCGTTATGCAACGAGCGCTGTTTAACGCGCTCTTTATCCCGGTCTCGCTCCCGTTCTCTATCTCTGTCTCTGTCTCTGTCGTGAGCGGATAGCTTCTGGTTGAGCAATCGATTGATCTCGTTGTATTTGTCCGAGTCGCGCAACTTGGCTGCGCCCTCGTGCTTACCCGACTGTGGCTCCAGCTGCATGACACGATTGAATTTCGCATCATAGTCAGCTGGCCGCATAATAATCGGTTTAATTTCATCCTCGCGCGACCACGACTTGCTCGACGATGCTGGCGTCTTGGTGCGCACATGCTCCATCTCACGTTCTCGTTCTCGTTCTCGTTCTTGTTCTCGTTCCCGTTCCCGTTCCCTTTCCCGCTCCCGATCACTTTGGCGCGGCACATAGGGCTTGGCGGGCAGGTCCCGCAGATAGCTGTCCTCTGGCGGCTGCACCGCGCTCTTCCGCTTAAGCTGCGCGTGATGCGGCAGCGCAATTTGCGACGGCTTCAAGGCAATCACCGAATTGTCCGCCTCGTTCGACCAGTGCTCATCATCTGTTTGGATTAAGGAGAATCACAGTAAGTTTAAACGTTTCAATTCGCACTCTCCAATATTAATCTCTGTTAACATTTTGGCAAAAACTTAAAACTGAACATCGGACAACTATTTCATATTGGCTCCCGTCTAATCATATTTTGAACTATATAATCCTCTGAATGCTCTCGTTCTTGATTTCCCAATCTGATACCGAAGCTAAAAGACTTTCTGGATTCTGTGCAGCGAGTCACCCAATTAAAAAACTAAATTAAAATTGCACGCCGATTTCAATGATCGAGACATCGTCATCATTGACAGGAGTAGCTGAAGGCTTATTGGCAGATTGATTGGTATTTAATACAAAAGAGTTCCTTCAATGTTTAAAGTAGATTGAAGCAGTGATTCTCGGAATAATAGTCAGTGACAGGAAGCGGAAACACCAAAGTGGATCTCCTTTCAAATCAATCAAATCATTGTTACTGTGCTACGCACCGCTTGAGCTGTTCAACTCCTGCCGCTCCGGACTGGGAGCCAGATCGGACCCAATGCCGGAGGAACCGCGTGAAGACACCTGTTTCCCATTGGCCAATGTGGGCGGGGCAGCGCCCGCTGCTGTTGCTGCTGTTGTTGATGTTGTTGTTGTTGCAGCTGCTGCTGCAGCTTTGGGCGTGCCGGCGCCGCCCACAATTAGTGCATTCCGACAGCGGCGCAATTCAATGGCCGTCAGATTGCCCTTGGAGCGATGCACTGTATCATAGTCACGTGGCGGCAGCAACAGCGGCGGCCCATTGCCATTCAGCTTGGCGCGCAGCTCGGCGGCCAGCGAGTCAAACAAATCGCTGTTCTGCTGCGCCGTCAACGGTGGATGACCGTGTGGATAGTTCGAATGGTGCTGTGAATGATGCGGCTGATGATGCTTGCTGCCATTGTTGCTGCCATTGTTGTTGCTATTGTTGTTGTTGCTGCTGCCGTGCGGCGGTGATCTGGATACCGGCGAACCGGCGTGTCCATGCTCCTCACTGCACTCCGACTCCCGCGTGCTGTTGCCCGTGTCGCTGCCCAAGGAGCTGCTGAACCGTTTCGGTGACATCTCGTGGCGGTGCTGCTGCTGCTGCTGCGACTGATGTGGATACCCACTACTCGATTGGTGCTGCTGATGATGTTGCTGTTGTTGTGACTGCTGATGCGACGACTTCTGGGTGGAGTCGTGTCGCTTGTCGGCGCTGCTGTGTCTGCCACCATTGTTATTGGGACCGTGTCCCCCGCCGGCGGGCATCGGCGGCATAATCCCCAATCTATAAATGCAACAAAAGTAAAAAGTAATTTCTTATAATTTCAAATCAATTGTATATCTGTGTGTAGTTGCTGAGCTCACCTGGTCTCCAGTTCTTCGAAGCGCTTCTGATTGTCGGGCCGATTAATCAGGATTTGCAATTGTAAATGCAACGCCTCCGCCGTTGTCTCCGAGTCGCAACGATAGGCGTGCACATGCAAGGGACATTTGGTGGCCGGATTATAGAGGAGCAGCACACAAGCAACAATGTCATCGGTTTGGACGGAGCTGGTTATGGCACTGTGTGGTATTAAATGCTTTGACGAGCCCTGTTCGCGACCAATCAACAAAACAACAAAATCAACAATAAACTTCAGCTAGGAATGCGCTTGGTTCTTGGAATAGTAATGTGTATTTTGTGTGTGTATGTGTGTGTGTGTGTGTGTGTGTGTCTGAGGCGAGAGCGGAGACGCCTACTTACCTGCACTATTTTGATGCCCTTGTGCGAGACCTGCAGCGTCACCTTGAGCGGCTCCTGGCCGCGCGATCTGTCCACCAGATATGGGAGCACTGAGTTAATGACACGCGCGCCACGCAATCCTTTCGCCTCCTCGGCGCCCAGGAACCACACATAGTAGGAGGCCTTCTGCACGTCCCGACGCAACCGTAGCGCCATCTTCTCCGATCAATTAAGATTACTCGCTGCTGACTTAACTTATGGATTGCCAGATGCTAACTAAGTGCTTGCGAGCATCTGAAAGAAATTCAAGTGCAAAAACAGTCAGATTAGTCAGATCTGGAAACTCACTTCAAAGGAAAAGAGTATCTAAAATAAGAATCAAATAATAGTTATCGACAAGTTGTCCATAATTAGAAAGTCGGAGTGAACATTGTAATAATGGTAATCTTATCGTAACCGTTAAAGTGTCATCTATTCATGTAGTCTGGCAACTCTGATTTTGTTTATCTTAAGTGAAAAATGAATTTCGTCATAGCAAACAACACTCCGAAAAGTCGTGTCATTGTTCCAATAAAGATATTGATTTCCACGCATATCGTTGCCTTATTTGAAAACGCTCTTTAACCTAGGATTCTAGCGCTAGGATTCATCACTACACCAGGCTATAGGTCAAAAGTCCAATAGGTTATGGGCCCAGTGTTTCAGTCATATATTACGACTGCGCCGCTGTGTGCGGAGAACTATGAAAAAGAACTATGACAGTATGTTGATGGATCGTAGATTTGCCCAGAAAGTGCGACAGATCGAGCCAGTTTCAAAAACATAATATAAGAAGGCGATCGAATACTGGTTGAAATTGGCAGTATCGGGAATGAACGAAGGCGCTGGTTTGCATCAGAATAAAGATGATTCAACGCTTGGATATGATTTGTTAGTAATCGTATTGCAGAATAGTTCGCCTGACTCTTAAGAAATGGTCAGATGTGCGATGGAAGCACGAGATGACTTGCCCCATCTCGCTGTGCTTCGCGTCAAAATAAAGAGGACCGCGTTGAAGAAAACGCAATGTTCGCCAATCGTCGAAAAGACGTGGAAATAAATAGCAAAGTAGAAGTAGAAGAAGTAGAAGAAGTTTCAGCTGCAATAAGATTGGACATTTCGCGGGTAACTATCGAAGCGATGCAAAGAAAACCATGGAAGTCAAGCCAAATGAACCGAAGAGTGCGGGTACAGCAGAGAAGGGAGAGCTTTCGATAAGCGCATTATAGATGGCCTTTTCTATTGATGAGAAGATTGGCTTGTGGTGCCTCGATGGTGCTTGCCCGGCACACATGAGTTCAATTAAGAGCCTGTTGCATTTGGCCAACAATAAGACCACGCGAATAATTGGTAACGTTGAAATCGCAGTTAAGAAGCAGCAGCAACGGGCTGACTTAACATTGACAGATGTTTTCTACGTCTCGGATTTGTGCCAAAGTTTGATGTTGGTTTCCAAAATCACTGACAATGATTTCAATGTTAATTTAAAAATAAACAAAAAAATAGTAAAAATTAGTCAATTGTTATGAAAAATAACAAAGCTTGGCTACGTGCTCAAAGGTGCGGTAACTTGTACTATTTGAAACATTGAAAATATTCGAGAATGGAAAATTGTCAAAGTGCGAAATTCGCAAAAACGAAACTGCAAACTGCAAGCAAATATAAAAGTGGAAAAGAATAAAAGCAACGACCGACAGAACTATCAGAAATAGTTCACAGCGATGTATGCGAAATAAACTGTGAAGTTCACTTTCTTAAGCAGAAGTCGGCGGTATTTGAGGCTCTTAAGGTATATAAAGCTGCAGCAGAGAACTTTACGGGTAAGAAGATAGAAGTACTTTAGTACTTTATACATGTAACGGGACTGAGTACTGCAACAAAGAGTTCGACAAGCACATGGGGGTGAACGGAATCCAGAGACGCCTCAGAACACCGCAGACGCCAGACTGGCCAGCAGAAGAGATAGTATCGTACCCTGGTCGAGCGGCACGCAATGTGACGAAGCAATACTTTTGGGCAGAAGCAGCAAATGCAATGTTACATAAGAAACAGATGTGTAAAGGGGGATCTATCCGATGGGATTACCCATAATTTTACGTATATTTGGTACGAAGGCATATGCATTAGTAAAAGGTTCTAATAAGGGTAAATTTGAATCAAGATCGGAAGAATATATACTGGTCGGCTCAGCTCAACTACATCGGAGGCATATCGATTGTATTTACTTGACAAGCGTCAAATTTTTGAATGTTCCAGGTTGCAAAAGCGAGTACGCTGAGTTCTAATTTTGGTATCGCCAATAAATCAATATATCCTCAATATCAATTAATCTTGTGACGATAGGAGTACAAATGAGCGACCCCAAGCAGAGAGCGTCACAAGATCGAGAGAACAGGCCAGCCTGGTTGGCCACGGAAAATATATCAACCACAATCAAACACAAGTGGATAGCAGCGATGAGCAGAGCAGCTCGAGCGGGACATTCGAGGAATGCGAAATGGCATTCATGGCTGTGACAGATGAGGAGGAAAGCATCAGTTGGACAGGAGCAATTGAAGCAGAGTTTCTGGCGCTAGATCGACGCCAAGGATCGTAAGATTATTGGTAGTAAAATGGTGTTTCAATGAAAAGATAATGGAATCGTTTCATCAAAAAAGAAAGTGCGAATGGTCGCTAAAGTATTCGCACAAAGACTTGGAGAGGATTTCCATGAAACGTATTCACCTGTAGCACGCTTCACATCAGTCCGACTTTTGGCAACGGAACTTGATATGGAGATATAGCAAAAGGGAGGTGGTCACAGGTAACCTAAACGGCGAGCTCGAAGAGAGCGTATAATGGAAAGGAAATGCCAAAGAGCCTCAATGATTATTTGCAAATGTTGGAACCGGGCAACTGAATTGGCATGAAACAGAAGTCACCTTGAATGGAATGGCTTACAGTGAAAAGCCCTGTTTGCTTGTTGAAGAAGACGCTATACGGATTACGGCAGTTCGGCTTACGTTGGTATTTTAGATCCACGACAAATGGATGACTGAATGCAAGTTGGCATTAACAACCTTGACGCGATTAGGGGCAGCCGATGAAGCCGTAATGAGGAAGGACTCCTATCAGAACTTAATTGGTTCTCCTGTGTTTCTTTCAGTCACAGCTCGTCCACATATTGCGTACGCCATAAATACCAAGAGTCAGTTTAACTCATGTTACAATGTTGAACACTGAAAGACATTCTTCGGTATCGAAGGGGCTAACATATGTAGGGAGTCGTCGATGCTGACTGGAGCGTGAACTTGACCGACAGGCCGTATTATTCTGGACAGGCGTTTGTATTAGCAGGTGCAGCTGTATGTTGGGAGGCACGAAAACAACAGCGAAGCAGCAAAGGAGGCCTCATTGTTGAAGGCCATTCATAATCGAAATGGCAGAAGATGTGATTCGGTTCAGCTCGTAAACGACATCCAAAGCGTTCAAAAATTAGTTAAAGGCTTTTGGGTTTCATCCACATCGATGTCCGTCAACATTTCATCCAGCATTAGCATCAGAGTGGCGACATCCAAGATGATTATATGCAGACGGAGCAAACGCCAGCAGATGTCCTAAAGATGGATCTAAGCAGTGGCAAGCATCATGGTTGCAAATGGAATGGAATACAAATAAGCATAGCTTAAGGCTTAATAAACTGAGAATGAATGCTAGTCGAATTAAGCAGCTAAGTTCCATAAGAATGTGTGTCGAAATATTGGGATGGGCATGGGGATCATCAATCAAGATTCGACTAATGGAAGAGTATTAGCGTCATGGGAAATTATTTGAGCAGCTTACGTGATATGCAAGTGGAATTCTGATGCAAAATGATGTTGTGCTGTAAGTGCTTAATATTTGTGATCATGTTTGGCATGCATACGGTCCTCTAACGGCGAATCTCACAAAAATTTCCAATCACCAGCTGTGTGCCATAATGTTTTCAGCTTTAAAACTGGTGCTATAATAGAGTGGGCAGTCCGCGACAGGTAACAACGGTATTCCCGTTGTAGTTGTCTATACTCGTATAACTGCTCAATAATATTCATAATCGATGAGCCTGTACAACTTGTTGTGCGACGCGTTCCGATGCGACGACTTGCGTGGGTCAAAAGAATCATCTTATATATATATATATAGTTTTGTTGTTGTTATTTTGTCACTCTGCTGTATATATATATATATACATGTTTCAGTTATGCGTGACATTTCGAAGCACAGAAACCAGCCAACGAGCAACAAGCAACGAGCAACAGCTCACAGATAGGTATCAATGTTATGTGCTAGGCATAAGCATAATGTATGCCTTTCAAATTTACATATGACACAAAAGCAGCCTCAGCACCAACAACACAAAAGACGCTAAGCAAACGAAATTTTGAAGCCCAAAACGGTTTTCTAATTTACCAATTCTAGATACACACGAACATGAAGAACGAACAAATCAAATTGTGAAAAACACCCGAACAACTTTCGTGAGCATGTGAAAATTTGAAAAAGCTTGAATTCTACTCCCTTCGCAGTGGAACTCTGGTCATATTTCAATTTCGCTCATATACAATAAGACTATTTTATTAATTGAGATACTCGTAAAAGAGAATTGCTTTAAATATACTTTGTACACGTCATTGTCTATGACAGATCCTATTGATCCACTAGTATCTACTAGATACTACTACTACTACTACTACTGTCAAGCAATGCCTTAAGCCACTGATCCTGTTGCGGAATAGGGCCTACCTTTTTAAAAAACCATCAAGTTATACAACTTGCTAAAATAAACTTCATTAGCTAACATCAAAATAGTATATAAATATCTTATATCTTGCAACCTATTAGACAAAATCAAGTATGAATAAGTATTAAATAACCATGAAGTCGTAGGCTTTTGTAGCTAGTACTCAAACTTATTGTATAATCAATTAAATGTAAAAATACAAATATATATATTTATATATATGTATTTATAAGTACTCTGCTGAATCTGAACTTGGGTGCGGCTTTGAGATGACTGGAAAATATTCATAAAAAGTATCATCTTAAAACACAATTAATATATTCATATTTTGGAATGTTAAGTTGCTATTACTGTCTGAAACAGGTTGCAAAACAATTTCCAAAACTTGAAAACTAAATATGCTAAAGTTTAAAATTTCCATCCATTATCTTGTAAAAGTAAGTCAATTAAATTGTTTTTCTTTCTAGCATTATGCCAACATATGTAGATTTCAGCATTCTTCACTTTTATTCAAATATGCAAATGTTGTTAAGTACAAAATTAGCACGCAATTAGGAATGTTTTAGTGTGTACATTTTGCAAGATGACTTTGACTTCGTTGAAGCGTTAAATTTGTATCGCAAATTCCCCATATACACATATATACGCATACCTGTGTATTCAGATAAATAAATATATATATATATATATATATATATATATATATATATATATATATATATATATATATATATACATATTAAATATGTGTGTATGAAGTGTGTGACTTGAAGTGGCTTCGATGATTTTTGACTGGTCGAAACGAGTTTTTTTTTTTTTTCGTGATGTTAGCTTGGTTAGCTCATCTGTTAATATACGCATATATACATCGTTGTATGTACAGATGTGCAAAACAAACTGATTAACTTAATTTTTTTCGAGCTTATATAAATGGCAATGAAATGAAAAAGAATGTTTTTAAACAGAAATAACATGGAATCGGCACTTTAACTGTTTCCAACTTGGTTTTAAACGCATTTTTGTGACTCATTTTTGATACATCAATATTCAAAATTAAATTTTAAGTGTCTGCCAGAGGCGTATCTGATATCCCACTTGGGCACGCAGTAGTTTTTGAAGATGGTAAATAACTCGTCGTATAACCTAGTTCCACTACGCTCATCGATTTTTTAATTTACCCATAAAACAGCTGAAAGCAATAAGCCTAGATTTCAATTTTTAATTAACTGTTTGCTGATAATCAGGTTGCATTATTATATATCGAAGCAAGATCGAGTATCTTTTGTTTTTAATACTGTTTTTCGGGCGATTGGTCAAATATCAAATATGGCATATATTTATTTATTTTTTTTGATATATCGACATAGGTTTAATGGAATTTAGATATTATACATATTCATTGCGTATGGCATATGTACATTTAATATGTCGAGATATAGAAAAATAACTTTCTTAATGTTTGCAAGGCATTTTTCTATTTTCCAGTAATATTTTACAATACTAGGAAATATATTTTTAAAAAGTAGAGAGACAAACGTTTAGAACTCGACTCGAGAAAGAGAGGCGAATTGAAATCGACGTTAAGTCGCTAATTACTATATAAAATGCTTGTATATGTCGAATCGTGAACTGCTTCTTATGAATAATAATTGAAGTAACCAAATGGGACGCGTAAGTATTCATTGTTCTCTTTTCTTCTTTCTTGAAGTCAAAATTGTGGCGCATTCTTATATTTTAGGTCGGTTTTTTCTGAGTGTACATCGATACTTGCATATAAATTTGCTTTAAGATTATTGCTATTTGGTATTCAACAGCCATTTGTATGCGCTTAGAAAATAACTTTTATTTAAATCCAATTGATGTCATCCGTTGCGTTGTTTTTTTTGATGGAGGGGGATTAATACAGTCGTGTTTACTTTGCTCGTGAGTGTAGTGCATGAAATAGCTATGACTTCTTTTATATATAACTGTGTACCTTTTGTATATATGGATATATCTACATATATATGTACAAATTACATAACATGTGTAAAACAATTTCATATAACACCTAATAACAATATCCAATATTTTTGTTTGGTTTTTCTCCAACACGCTAAAGTATAGCGTTGTTTTCTTTTTGTAAGTCAGCGAACTATTTGCAAAACATATTTTGAAACTATTGTCAGATTGGTAGAGAAAAAGATTTACATGCATGTACATATACACATACACATGCACATATATGTATGAACATCTCTATGAATATATGATAATAAATATTTCATTCATGTTCAGTTGCTTTTTTTGGCGCAGTCGCAACGGGTTTTCTTGGAGTTGCTGTTTGGCTGTTTGGCTTTTGTTGCTGTAGCGCCCCCTTTTGGGTAGAGACAGAAGAAGAAGAAGAAGCCGCAATTGTCATTCTTTCGGTGTGTTCTCTTCTTCGGTTCGCTTATTGGATTTTGCTTTGCGCACAACACACAAAGTGCCAACAATAACTATAAAATGGGTTAAGCGCATTTGCCGCAGATGCCGCAAATGAACCAAATTGATGATAGACACACACACACACTCACTTTCACACAGACACACACACACACACACACACAAATATTTATACATAAAATCACACACGCAGTCGCAACAACAACAGGCATTAAAAAAACGCCGCACTTGCACTGTATTATTTCGGCTCTCTTTGCGTTTGTTTGGCTGCCGTTGTTTTTGTCGTCGTTGCTGGCATTTGCTCCATTTCAGCTGAACTCGATCAATGAACCGTTTAATATACACATACATTCACACACACACAGACATGCACACACACACAAGTATATACTACATACAGGCCTGTTGTGGCGTTTAAATTTCTACAAAACTTATTTGATTAACGGTAATTGCAAGAGAGTGCTGCTCTCTCTCTCTCTCTTTTTGCGCAAAAGAGCGCCACTTTAACACTCTTCTCTTTGCACACACACACACCTTTGCTTGCTCAGCGCGCACAGTAACAAAAAATGTCAAAGAAAGACTTGCAAGCTTTTGTTGTAAATAAAATGATAGTTGTTGTTGGCTTGGCTTTTGTTTGGCACGTTATTCGCGTCCCGCAACTGACGACGTCTCAACGCTTCGGCCGTCTGCTATCGACTGACTTCAGTTCGAGCTGTTGGCTGCTTGGCAGGCAGGCAGGCAGGCCTGGCTATGAACAGGTATGCAGTGCACACACATACTTACAACAACACATATATACATATATCTACATATATATATGTGTGTGTGTGTATGTATGCATGCATGCATGTGTGCTGTTGTTGGTATTGTTGCTGCCAGCAGCCGCAAAGAAAGTCAAGTCGCACGTACTGAGCTGACACCGATGCTGCTGCTGCCGCTGCCGCTGCCACAGTGTCTTGGCTGGAATGTGTTGAAATTAAAAGTTGTTGGGTTTTTGGGCGCAGCGTTGCCGTTGCCGTTGCTGATGCCGTTGTTGTTGGCCATGGCCAGGCCAGTGTTCGTGTTGTTGTCGTATATTTTTATTATTATTGTATTCTGTGTTTTTTGTTTTTTGGCTTAGGCAGGTGTAGCAGGCGTCTGCTGTTGTTATTGATATAGCATTGAGCACTTTGAAAAGCCGTCGTTGTCGTTTCTATGCATTCTACAGGTTTTCCATCTACACACACAGACACTCAGACACACACTCAGCTGCTGCAAGCATTTAGCTCGCCTTCGTTTGGTAGCCAGCCAGAGTGAAATCTGCACAAAAATTATTCTATGTACAAGCATATGTATGTATGTATGTGTATATGTACACATATGGCTATAATCGGACGGCTTGTTGTTGTTTGCTTTTTTGCTATTTGCTGTTTCTTTTGGCCACAGAAACGGAAATGCTCAAACTTCGCCACTTTCCACCAAAAAGGTGTCGATACTTATTTCGACGATTTCTTGTTGGCACACATTTTCCAACTTACTTTCAAAACCGATATATATATAAATATATATATATATATATTAATATTATTTTAGGAAATTATTATACTTGTTCCGTTTCAAATTATATACTAAAACTAACAATAGATTTGTTAATAAAAGAGCTTAATTGGTAAGTTCAGAAACTTGGACATATGAAATACTATTTATTTATTTATGTAATGTGGACTTGAATCAGTCTACAGTTTTTAAAAAAGGTTTTAATAAATTAAAATTTGAAAATAAATTGAAAATTCAAGTTACGAACGAAATTATATACAATTAAACGGTACAAATTAAATTGAAAAGGGGCAAAAATGAATAAATAAAATAACGAATATTATAATGTCAAATATTTCAATATGTATTGCAAAGATTGGGGACCGAATAAAATACCAATGAGACACAAAATTGTTAAGCGCTTGAAGATTAGTTATAAGAAAGGTAAACATTTTAACATGGCTAAGATAACATGGAGTAAGATAAGTTTACCAAAGTTGAGCACGCTCAGAGGTTTCCCCTAGATATGTGAGTATTGAAAATTTAATTGGAGGAAGATTGAAGATTCTTCTATCAAATACAAATTTTAATTTCAGCTCCAAAGAAATATACATATGTATATAAATGTAGATGTATGTGTATAGAAAATCAATTGATATGTCATAACTTGCACACTTGAGAAGATAATTAAAAGTGTGCAATTATTGTTGGAAATGCCAGAACGTAAATTTGTTTACGACCTTGGTCAGCGAATTGTGTTCGCTTTTGACCCCACACAGACAGCACAGAAATGCATTTGCAGCACGTTTCGTGCCAAGCGCACAAGCAACAACAGCAACAACAATTGTAGCAACAACAACAACAACAACAACTTACGGCCAACTGCAATCTGAAAGATTTCACCAGGTCTTTTGACAAATCCCTGCTAACCTGCTGACATGCTATTGGTCCAAAGCCCCACCTCCCCAACACCAATGAAATTTCACTTTTCTCTCATGGAAAAACTAGAAAGAAAAATACCCAAAAAAAAAAAAACGAAATATAATAATAATAATAAAAACTTTATACGAGCACACTTAATAATTTGCAATTAAATTCGCCGATGGTCGTGCCTCATGGGAACTGGTTGCTTGAATATGCACATATTTAGTTTTGGCCTAGGGTATATCAAGGCCATATTGACATGACCATTCAGATCGGCTGTTCAGAATATGAGGTAGCCAATTGCAATCAAAATCGTACAATATATATCTATTTATTACAAGATTATTTGAACTGCACATTTTGAATTGATTTTATTTCTTCAATTTAATTTCAATCGTTTCTCATTTTGCCATTATTTAAATTATAAATGAGGCGTTTTTTGTAACATTTTTTAATTTAAAACTTTGGCAAAGTAAGGAGTGAATGAATTTCGAAATTACTACAAAATATTCGCAATTATTTGGCTTTTATGCCGCCTCACGTGCTGCACTTTATTCATATAGTGTAGATCACGTTCGGATTAATTAATTTGGTTTTTCTTATGAGTTTTTTTTTTTGGTTTTTTTTTTTTTGGTGAAATCCAAAAGCAAGTCAAGGCGCAACAAGAAATAATGCTCTGGCCGAGATCCCCTGCACCCGTACATTCATAATTATATTGTGTATATAATCTGCAAAATCGGAGGGAGGTATACGAGAATATTCGCGAATTTTTTTTATTATTGCCTCTAGCTGTTATAACCTTGAAGATATGCGCAAAAAACCGGTATCAGAAATCTAAGAAAACCATTATCGATTTAAGGAAAAGTTCAACTTGAACTGCGTGTGCTAAACAAGAACTTGCATTTGTACATACTGTTACAAGTTACATACATTTCTACAACTTCATTAAACACATTTTTAATGAGTACAGGGTATAAAAATCGAAATTGCTTTTGTAGAGTAGTGCCAACAGACTGATTTCCCCTAGCCAGCCTAGTCAGCAACAAGCATGTGGCCAAGGCCGTGCTGGATTGAGGCAAACCGATGTGATTCGTGTTGTGTCGAGTCGAGTCGCGTCGAGTCGAGTCGATCGCTGTGTGCCATTAAATCAAAAGGAAGAAGCAACTGCCACGCCCACAGCCAGTCGGCAGTCGGCAGTCGGCAGTCAGACAGGCTGTCAATGTTGCTACCACAAACAACAACTATAGGCAGCAAAAGCACAACAACAACCAGTAAAAAGCAACAGCGGCAACCACATGAGAAACTGATTTGTGACGGCCTCGGAACAAGTGGCTTTCTTTTGGGTGCGACGACTTGCAGCGAGATCGCAGATTGCCGATCGGACCAGGGACTCAATGCAGCTGCTAAGCGTTTTTAATTGAATCGCAATGAAAAGAGTCTCGAACGAGAAACGCGTTAAACCGCTTTTGATTTTTATACGTCTACGTGTACATACTCGTATTAGTACTCGTACTCGTACACCATACACCATACACCATACACCAGACACAAGCTCCTGGGTAAAAGTGGGTAATCATCATTAGCGTGCCGCAGTTGTGGCCGATGCCAAAGACGGGCGTGCGGCATGGCAATACAAATCAGCGTCAGAGTGCTGGACAGTAAACGACCCCAACTCTAACTCCATCCCCAATCCACAGTACACAATCTTCAACCAATTCCATTTCCAATTCCCACATCTGTATGCTCATAGATTAGACGGTGAGAGTGCGACAAAGCCAAAAGCTGCCATCGCAGTAAAATAAAATAAAATTCAAACATTTTAACGGCCTTCTTACAAGATGGCAACCCACACACACACACACACACACACATACATACATATTAAGTTGCATGCCACAGCGCAGCAAGTGAAATTGCCTTAATGCGCTGCTCCTATCAACATGTCCAAAGCGATCTTACCCTGCTGCCTCGACGAAAAAGAAATTTGATCTATTTCATTTGAGCGTCAGATTATGGATTGAGCACTGAGCGACTGATTGGGTGAAAACACATGTGGGTGTGCCAAAACCGAATACGAACAGAACATACATAAATATTTACAATTTATATATATATATATATATGTTTACACACACAATCACAACAACAATCAGGAGCACGAACGCTTTTTGTTTTGGGGCGTGAAGGCAACAATATACAACTGAAAGCTGTTGTTAAGGCTTACATGAATAGCTTGGGAGAGTCAATGATCAAAAGTAGCTACTATCACACTCAATAACTCTTACCTCTTTTCAATACACTGTAATTATGAATTGGGTACACATCTACAGACTTAAGTCACCTTACTTTGATGATGTGCGGGTCTCTCGCTTAAAATCTGAGTACTGCGTAGTATTTGAATCTATATCTAAATATTATTTTTAAATTTGGGAATATATTTTCAACTGTATCTATTTAAGTACCTTTTACTCACTTTCTTACCAGTCGAAGCTACATTTGTATCTGTATTAAAAACAAGAGAGATAGGACTATAGGGTTGACTTAGCAGTGTCCTCGCACATTATAAAAATCGCATGTCTAATTTAATTCTACATGTATAATCTTAACTGTTGCTAGTTGTAAAAATAGAACATTAAACAAAATCTTACTTGAATTTTCCGGCTTTCATTTAAATGATGTTCAATGAGGTCTTTTCCAGAGTGGATTGTTTTTATTTTAGCTTAATGGGTTTTGGGAACACCTGAGGCCATCAAGTGGCATTTGGCATGTGCTGTCAATTGTGAAGCTTCCTGTAAATTGCACAGAGTTCAAGCCAAAAGAATATAAAGCAGAAGCTATAACCTCTTTAGTACTCTGACCCTTGCGGAGAGACACGAGCCCAGAGGGAAAGAAAAGTTCTTGAAGCCCAACAGCGGAAGAGCAACTAAATACTGCGTAGCTACTATTTATGTAGGTTTATGTGCTGCTCGAAGAGGGGCAGAAGGAGGGGGAGGAGGTGAAGGAACCTTAATTATTTCATTTAATTTTGGTGGGGCAAAGAGCAATTAAATACAACAGATGTGCAAGTACCTGAGTCGGATACTACAAAAAAAAAAAAACCAACAAAAAGTTGATCCAGCTGCTTTTTCTTCTTCTTCTTTTGCGTCTTTGTTTTTTTTTTTTGGTAATTGTGAACTTTACGAAGCGTTAACATCGCGTAAAGATTGTCTAACTTGATTGTGGCCGCAAATGTCTCAAGAAACTGAAACCTTTGTGCTGC